GCAGTACTCCTTCTCTTTTCCATTAGAAATGATATACTGCCTTCTTTAGAAAGCTTTACCTAAGTAAGAAAATACATTACCTATCCACCCCAGAACTTTTATTATGATAGCTAAAATGTCCCATGTAAAAAGAAATGTATACACAAAAAATATTTTTATTTTGGTTCTATGCCATATTTCTCTCTATGTTATTTTTAAATGTTTATTGTTCAGGAGGTGGAAAAAGTATGAGTTTTCAATTCTGAAAAAAAATCACTTTTTCATATTTCAGATTTTGCTTTATCATAAAAGTTCCTGCAGGACAGAGAACTTTTTAAAATAAAAACTTTAAAAAATGATTTGTGTGCTCTTGAGCACTGTGCCATGTATTTGAGTAGACTTAGCACACATGTTACTTCTTGGTATTAATTCAGTCAGTTTTAGGCTGCTAGGGAAGTGAATCATACATACTAATAGGTATGATTCAAAATGCAAAGTAGTAAAAGTGTTAGTGTTACTTGCCTCTCCTTGTGCTCCCATAGTCACTTGTGCTTATTCCTTCGTGGCAGTTACACTATATACATTTCCTCCATGTTTGTCTCTGAGAAAGTCTATCACAAACTGGAGCAGTGGGTTTTTTTTGTTTTTTTATTTTTTTATTTATTTTTGAGAGAGAGAGAGAGAGACAGAGTGTGAGCAGGGGAGGGGCAGAGAGAGATGGAGACAAAGAATCCGAAGCAGGCTCCAGGCTCTGAGCCGGCGGCACAGACCCTGATGCGGGGCTCGAACTCACAAACCATGAGATCATGACCTGAGCCGAAGTCAGACGCTTAACCAACTGAGCCACCCAGGTGCCCCTTGAGCGGTGGTGTTTAATTGATGTGGGGGTGGTAAGGAATGGGGCCTGTGCATTTTGGAAAACATTCCCCATGCTGTTCTTTAGGCGTATCACACCTTCCATCCCCATCAACCCCACCATTCTTCTTTGGGAAACTTATACTCATCTCTAAAGTCCTAGAAAATAGGAAACCGTACCTTATTTATCATTGTATCCCAGTGCTTAGCATTTTTGCAGCATCTATGCTGTTAAGATAGGCAATAAATGTTCCTTGCAGGAAGGTAAAACTAGGAGTTTGGAGGTAGGAGAAATTAATTGTGACTCGGAAGAACATGATAGACTTTGTACGATGGTTACTTGAGAGGAGTTATGAAAAGAGGTGTAGGGCTGGTTTTATAGAAATGGGGGAAAACATTTCACACGAGGGAATGAGCAAAAGCAGACACAGGAAAGTGTGGTATGTATTCCAGGAATTCTTGGGGAAAAATCATAGAGTGTGTGAAGTGGAAGAAGCCTATGGAATTTGCCTCTAGAAGGCCATTGCATGGAATTTGAACTTTGTTTGTAGGTGGTGGGGAACCATTGAAGAAATTTTATCATGGCATAACTTGAATCATATGTCAGCAACTTGATATATCTGTCACTGTAAAGGTGAGATTATGGCTAGGTAGAAAGTAGAGATGGGGGCTCCAGGTAAAATGAGGACAATTAGAGTCTAAATTAGATTGATGGTGAAGAAAGAAGAGGGAGTTGATGCCAGACATATTTGAGAGGTAAAAATCAGTAAGCCACTCTTTTTTTAAGTACCACATTTTTCATTTTAAAGTCTTTTTTTTTTTTTTTTTTTTTTTTTTTTTTTAAGAGAGAATGTGCATGCACATGTGCAGGAGCCAAGGAGGGGCAGAGAGGGAGGAAGAGAGAGAATCCCAAGCAGGCTCCATGCTGAGCCATGAACCATGAGGTCATGACCTGAGCTGAAATCAAGAGTTGGATGCTCAACCGACTGAGCCATGCAGGCCGCTCCTGCATTTTTCATTTTAAAGATCGTGCTAGCAAAGAAGAATGTTTTGACAGGCTAACACTCCTCCTTTGCAATTGAATTGCCTCGGCATTTATAGAAAATAATGAAATAAAGTTAATTAGATGTCATCCTGATAATAACAGTAGAGTTAAGTGATTGATGATACGTTGTGGAGGTTTATTTCATGTAAAAATTAATTGTAGATTATAGACATGTCCAAAGAGAGAACAAGATATTAATTTGGTCTTTATGTTTCTGTCGTGGTTTACATAGGCCTTTTATGCTTTCTTTCTCTTTATGAATTCAGGCACAGAAGAGGCTAAGTGATGGTGCACTCTCAGTGCCACTTCAGAAAATTACATAGGAATCAGTAGACAATATGCTGATGTACTATTTACTAGAACCACAAGAAACTGAGCTGAAATATTGAAAATGAAGGACATTCTTCTTATTATCTTGTTAGCTGCCCTTATCAGAGTATTTGTTTTAGCAGCTTTTAGCTGACAGCAAAAACTAATACCATCATCAATGTTATTTTATGTATGTTGCTAGTTTTCATTGTTTTAGGAGACAACATGATTATGACTTATTCAGTTATTTTTGCTGTATACATCATCTGTAAATCAAGTGAATTATTCATATTACTGTTAGTATCATTTCTCTTAAGTAGTTTGTTGACTTTATATAATATAGTGCATGCTTCATGTAGTCTTCAGCTCTGTAAGCTCATTTGTGTTGTTTTAAAACTCGAAACCAAGACTTTTAGTTTTTAAGATAGCAGAGTATAGGCATTTGTACCCCCTTCTGTCTGAAATTACTCTGAAACAACAAGGAGATTGAGAGACAGAGATTACATCTTTGGTGAGACCAGGAATCCTATAACCCAAATCAAAATATTTGAGAAAGGTTCCCGTAAGCAGGAAGAGATTGAAAGAGGATACTGTCGGGAAGAGATCTCAGATAGAGCTGGCAGTGCAGTCAGGGAGAGATCTTCTGTTTCCAGTAGCAACAGGATGCATAGGAAGGCAGTAAGAGCTTTCTTGGATTGTTTGGGAGCATGAACTAGCAGGAAAGGAAAAGGACATAAGAAAACATACAGAGAGACCCCATCTTTGCAGGAATCACTTTCTTGGTGAGGCAAGGAGTAATGGCTAAACGACTTTCTCTCACTTGTTCTTGGATACATTGTCTTTGTCTTTCTCTCTCACACACACATGCACAAAACACTGTGTCATAAGATGCTTTCTTGTATATTAGAGACTACCTTCTAGTCCAGAACACAGCTTGTTTCTTCCTTCCACAGGCCTCTTGCAAGTAACTGATCTGAGTAGAGTTCACATCATTCACAGGTAAATAAGAAAAAGGAAATGAGCACAGTTATCTCCCCAAAACTGCTACCAGAGAAAAGGAAAAAAGAAACAGGGAAAAACAAGTGACAAAGAACCCATGAGAAAACTGTATTGGCCTAACAAATTTAATGAAACAGTCACTTCTTTAATTTTTTTTTAAATGTTTATTTATTTTTGAGAGAGAGTACGAGTCGGGGAGGGGCAGAGAGAGAGAGAGAGAGAGAGAGAGAATCTGAAGCAGGCTCCAGGGTCTGAGCTGTTAGCACAGAGCCTGATGCGGGGCTCGAACTCATGAACAGTGAGATCATGACCTGAGCTGAAGTCAGATGCTTAACTGACTGAGCCACCCATGTGCCCCGAAATAATCACTTATTTAAAATAATAGACAAAGTTAATTAGCTAGGAAGAAATAATAAGACAACAGTATATGATAAACCATATACTGGCAGAGCTCAAGAAAGAAAGAAAAATAAAATCAGAGAAATAAAAGGCCATATGGGAAGCAAAAAGGAGAATTAACATTGTTGAAAAGTCAGTAAAGGGCATGACAACAAGCTTTTGGAAGTTGAACGAAGTGAAATGGGAATGAGAGGAGATGAAACATGCTCAGGTGTGTGTTCTGGAAATAAGAGAATTCAACATTAGAACAGAAGAATATTCAAACATATAACTTAAACTTCCCACTAAAAAAAGAAATCTTGGTTCTACAGATTGGAAGGACACATGATGAAGAAAAGCTAGTATACATTAACCCTTGAACAGTGTGGGGATTAGGGACACCAGCCTCCTCATGCAGTTGAAAATCAGTATGTGATAGACGCCTCAGAAACTTAACTACAAATAGCCTACTGTTGACCTTACTGATAACATAAACAGTCAATTAACACATACTTTGTATATTATATGTATTATATACTATATTTTTACAATAAGGTAACCTAGAGAAAAGAAAATATTAAGAAAATTGTAAGAAAAAAATCCTAAGGAAGAGAAAATACATTTACAGCACATACTGTAAAGAATCCACGTATAAGTGGACCCAGGCAATTCAAACCCATGTTCACAGGTCAGCTGTACATTCATCAACATCATTACATAACCTAGTTTTGAAAAAAATTGGCTTTCATAGGTAAGGAATGCATTCTCTGCTCATCACATTAAAAGGGTCAACTTAAAAAAAATTTTTTTTTTAATGTTTATTTATTTTTGAGAGAGAGAGACAGAGACCGAGCACGAGCTGGAGAGGGCAGAGAGAAAGGGAGACACAGAATCCAAAGCAGGCTCCAGGCTCTGAGATGTCAGCACAGATCCCGATGCGGGGCTCGAACCCATGGACTGCAAGATCATGACCTGAGTTGAAGTCGGACACTCAACCGACTGAGCCACCCAGGGGCCCCTAAAAGGGTCAACTTTTTAACTGAAAAAATTTAAAGGGGAGTGCTAGGGGAAGGATCAGATATTGTCAGGGGATATTTAGTGTTATAGCATTATTGTATAAAATCTACAAGTTGTCAGGGGGAAAGAAATTGTGACCTCAGCACAACTATGAGTTGACAAGTGTTTTTGAACAATGCGAGAACTCAAGGTAAATAGTGTTTATAAGTTCTTTTTGATAAACTGTAACAAGATGAATATCAGCTATCCAGTAGATGAATAGAGAAAGCAGTTATTAAAGGTGAAAAAGTAAAAATAAGTTTTTGTCTCTTTAGAAATATCTTTTTTGTTTACAGAAAACAAGATTATCTTCTTATCCAAAAACGATGACACCAACTGGGTTACTCTCAAAGGACAACCAAGTGAGCACCACAGACTAATGAGTAGAATCAACAAGAACGTGATTTTGGCGCTTTTAACTTTGACAAGTTCTGCATTTCTGCTGTTTCAGTTATACTACTACAAGCACTATATATCAGCAAAGGTAATTTTTTTTGTGTTCCTATCTACATATTTTTCTGATGGTGTTGTCTTTCTTTAGATGCTGTGCATAGTTTTAAGGATGTTACACCTTTATCATGTATATTTCAAATATTTTTCCTGGTTTATTAATTTGTCTTTTAACTTTATATTCATAGTATAACCCCCCACCCCCCACCCCCAGTACATTTGTATTTAATTTCTAGGTAGAAAAGATTTCTAAGTAGAAAACCTGTCAAGATCTTTCTTCCTTAGGGCATCTAGTTTTGTGTCATAAGTAGCCAAAGATTGTGGAAGTATTCACCTGTATTTTCATCAAGTACTATTTATGTTTAATTTTTTTTAACTAAATAGAATTTATTTTAGTATGAGGTATGAATTAGATCTGTAACTTTAAAGTTTTTCCCAAATGGTTGACCATTTGTCCCAGTATCACTTATTGAATTCCTCCATTAACTTAAAAATCCCATCTTAATTATATGTGACGTTTCTACAAATAACTACTATTTTGACCCTTTCCCCTGGAATGCATTGTAGCTCTTTGTATGTTTTTAAGTAGGCTCCACACCCAGAGTGGAGCCCAATGCTGGGTTTGAACTCATGACCCTGGGATCAAGACCTGAGCTGAGATCACGAGCTAGACACTTAACCACCTGAGCCACTCAGATGCCCCAAATGCCGTGTAGCTTTAGTTGTAAAAAGCAGAAACACTACTTTAGGATTAAATCTCATTTATGCTGCTTATTAACTGTGGGATCTTGGGTAAATTACTTCTAAATGCTCTGTTTTCTCATCTACAAAATAGGGACGATAAAGATACCAGCTCGTAGACTTGTGAGGCTTAAATGAATTAATACACATAAAGCATTTGGAACAGTGCATGTCATAAAGAGATCAGTAAATATGAGCTATTATTATTATCTTCATATAGTGTGATCCTGGTTTCAGGAGTAGAATTTAGTGATTGATCACTTACATATAATACCCAGTACTCATTCAAAAAATTTATTTAAAAGTCACTGTTTGCTAAGCATTTTGACAAGGTGACAGAAACAATGAGAAATGTTTTTTTTCTTCCATATTTTTATAATTTGTTGGGGACAGATGCTAGTGGAAGTATAGATGCTTCCGGTATGTTATTAGTGTGAAGATAAAATGCTGTCTATAAGGAATACAATTAGTTTCTCTATCCCAGCCAGAAAAAAAAATGCTTTATTTAAAAATAGTAAGTATAGTTAGAATAATAGACGTTATTATTTAAAAGCTCCCAACTTTTAAAATTTTTTCGATTTTGTTGAGGAAAATGTTTAAACTTTCAGCTTTTTATTAAACTTCAAGATCTCACTTAAACTTCAGGGAAATACGGATGGATCTCGAGTATTCTAGTATAGTTTCTTATAACATAGGAAGAGAATTCAGAATTCTGTAAACTTTGCTTACTGATTATATCTGAATTGCGTTTCTCATTTGTTCAATGTTCTCAATTGTGGGATATCCTTAGACAGAAAATTCACACAAAATGATTTCTAGTTCAATTAAAGTTGTTTGATTTATTAGCAGAAGAATGGAGAATGGTAACCTTGATCAGCACTAACTTACACATCAGCAGCATCAGCATAAAAACCATGATTTTAAGGACGCCTGGGGGGCTCAGTAGGTTAAGCATCCGACTTCAGCTCAGGTCATGATCTGACAGTTTGTGGGTTCAAGCCCAGCATCAGGCTGTCTGCTGTCAGTGCAGAGCCTGCTTCGGATCCTCTGTCTCCCCCTCTCTCTGCCCCTTCCTGCATGTGTGGGATAAATAAAATAAATAAAACATTAAAAAAACAAACATGATTTAGGTCATGTTTGAACTTTCAGGCAATTCAGAAAGACACTGAGATTGTGTGTTAAAGCTAGGGCAAGAATGAAAAGTTGGTTTTATCTGTGATCACAGCCTACTTCTAGTAGTAAATGTCTGCAGTAGTAAATGTTGAGGACTACAAATCTTTTCAGGCTCTTAAGGAGAGTACTCTAATATTTATCATACGTTAGGGAAGAAAGGTTATTGATATCTTGGAGTTAAGGAGGCATATTTTTTTCCTGGTTATAGTATAGTATTGGTTTTAGGAGTAGAATTTAGTGATTCATCAGTTACATAGAATGCCTAGAGCTCATCCCAAGTGCCCTCTTTTTTTTTTTTTAATTAAAAAAAATTTTTTTTTTTTTTAACGTTTATTGATTTTTGAGACAGAGAGACAAAGCTTGAGCAGGGGAGGGTCAGAGAGAGAGAGGGAGACACAGAATCTGAAACAGGCTCCAGGCCCTGAGCTGTCAGCACAGAGCCTGATGCGGGGCTCGAACCCACGAACCGTGAGATCATGACCTGAGCCGAAGTCGGATGCTTAACCGACTGAGCCACCCAGGTGCCTCCCAAGTGCCCTCCTTAATGCCCATCACCCATTTAGCCCATCCCTCTTCCCACCTCCCCTCCAGAAGCTCTCAGTTTGTTCTCTATAGTTAAGAGTTTCTTATGGTTTGCATCCCTCTCTGTTTTTATCTTATTTTATTTTTCCTTCCTTTCCCCATGTTCATCTGTTTTGTTTCTTAAATTCCACATATGAGTGAAATCATATGGTATTTGTCTTTCTCTGATGGGCTTATTTCATTTAGCATAGTTCCATCTACATTGTTGCAAATGGCAAGATTTCATTCTTTTTGATATTATATTCCATTGTGTATATATGTGTGTGTGTGTGTGTGTGTGTATGTATATATATGTATATATATACATATATATATACACATACACACATACCACATCTTCATTCATCAGTCAGTGGGTATTTGGGCTCTTTCCATAATTTGGCTGTTGTTGATAGTGCTGCTATAAACATTGGGGTGCATGTGCCCCTTGGAATCAGTATTTTTGTATCCTTTGGATAAATACCTAGTAGTGTAATTGCTGGGTTATAGGGTAGCTCTATATTTAACTTTTTGAGAAACCTCCACACTGTTTTCCAGAGTGGCTATACCAGTTTTGATTCCCACCCACAGTGAAGGAGGCCTACTTTTGACCATTTCTAGGGCCTCGACACAGAATTCCTTTTGGCCCTAGCTGGTTAGACAAGTTTAGCCTTTCTATGATCTCCCAAATGAGGTCTGAATAATCCAGTTATTTGATAGCATTGAAGGTAAGGAATTTGTATATCTATTGGGTCAGCTAAAACTCCATAGATGGGTGGAGCTGACTCTTCAGATTCTAGAACAACCCTCTAGATCTTTGAAATACAAACTCTTACAGGCCTTTGAAATACAAACTCTTGTGTGATGACCTTGTGAGCAATTTCTGTGAGCTCCACCTTTCAAGCAATTGGCTGGCAGTTTACATCACAAAGGTTATCTCTAGGACCCCCTATAGAATGTCAGTTGTTCATTGTTTTTTGTTTTTGTTTTTGTTTTTTTTTTACTGCACCAACCTAGACAATCTGATTATAATTATGGGTGCTCATTCAGTCTGTATTTATTGACTACGTGTTATATACAGGGCACTTTGCAAGAATACAGAGATAAATGGAATACAGGTCCTACTCTCAAGGAACTCATAATTTGGTAGAAGTGGCAACAGCATTAATTCTTAAGTTTGGGGCCTAGATAATCCTGAGTTTGACTCCTTATTTGGTTGTTTGTCTTAACAGCAAGTCACTTAACTTCTTTAAGCCTCAGTTTCTTTAAATGGGGCTACTGGCAGCTTTACTGGTTGAGATAATGTATGTAACGCATCTCACTTAGTGTTTGCTATATGGTAGGTGCTCAGCAGATGGTAGCTATGAATAGTGCACACATTCTAGTCCTTTCAAGGTTTACGTTGCTGCCTGATAAATAAAATTGGATTTAATTATTACAGGTTTCTCATTGATCATTTTTTTCATAAATGAGTTATCTGGAGCCCAGATATGTTAAGCTTCTTGCTGAAGATTGCCAAATTCAGGTCCCAAAACTTGTGTCCTCACTCATAGAGCTAGTCGCACATGTAAATACAAGTATGTTCAAACAAAATACTGTAACATTGATAAGATACGAGATAGATAAGATGGCTCATTTTGAATCACAATAGAAAATTATAAAATATTGCTGCCTCAGTGGAAGGAAGACAAAGCCCATGAACTGTGTTTGTATAAAGCACTGGGTGAACCAAACCTTAATAATGTCCTTGACTTAGAACCATAAGCAGCACTCAGTGCCTGCAGTATTCAGCTACTCTTACTACCTAGAAAGCCACTTACAGGGTTCTGTGCTAGGATATCTTACTTTGCATTGTATGTACTTTTTTGCCCCTTATGACTATATTTATGTGTACACACATGCACACACACACACTCGGCACTGAATGGGGAAGGAGTCAAAACAGAAAAGACAAGAAGCCTCCAAGTGGCACTGGCACAGAGGAGGAGGAGGGACAAAGGAGCATTTGTCCCTACTCTGGCTCCCACCAGCAACCTCCTAATAAGAGGTGAACCTGAAGTTGGAAGAACAGGAAGTGCTTACTCTTTTAAAGGAAAGTGTCAAAAGACAGTCATTTCTCTTTAAAAAAGCCTCTTCCCTCTACTCTCTGCCCACTGCTAAAAGCCTGATCCCCTGAGCTGGCTGTCCTTAAGGCTGGGGCAGGACAAGATGGTGAGGAGTGGCCTAAGACCAAAGATCTGAAGTACCCAGGCCCAGAAGGGCTTATACGAAGTGGCTGCCGGGCTCAGGGGGTGATCCCCTCTGTGGTCCAACTGGTCCTGCCCGCGGGCAAACTTGGCCAGCTTGTTGAGCTCCTGGAACTGTCTGTCTTATGGCTGAGCAGTGAGCTGCAAAGTGTGTTTGGTTAGAAGGTCAGGAGGGAGTTGGAAGGGGAGTTTGGATTTCAAGTGTGGCAATAGTTATTCACAGTGAACAATTCCATATGCCATTATTAGAAATGGAAATTAATCTTGCAGCCATTTAGATCATGGCAACAAAGGTTTTTGAAATTTTTGAGTT